AAGAAGGGCAAGAGGGAGGGGGGTGGGGGTAGTGGGGGGAGGGGTGGAGAGCACCATGCAGTTTGTATCCTGGGCCACACTGCTAACGCTCCTGGTGCGAGACCTGGCAGAGATGGGGAGCCCAGACGCCGCGGCGGCCGTGCGCAAGGACAGGCTGCACCCGAGGCAAGGTAACGAAGCTCCGGCCCCCGGGACCCCTCCGCCCCTATCGCCACCTCCCCAGCCTACGCGCTGAGGAGCGGGCACCCCGCAGAGGAGGCCTCTTTACTTTTCCTAGAAAGAATTATCTCCCGCTTTGCAGCCTCTCTCTTCTATAGGTCATTCCCAGCCAATATCTAGAGAGAGACACTGTGGAACGAATTTATCCCCACCCCCACTCTCTGTTTTTATCCTGATCTTTCCCCTTCCCAACCCTCATGCCCCAAACTACCGTAACTTAGTAACTGGGGGCATCGGCTAGCGGCATGTTTTTGTTTTATTCAGGGTTGTCAGAATCTGAAATTACCTTATGTATTTTGACTTGTTCGTTGCCTGGCTCCTAATACTGTATCCTCAGCGCCTAGCAGTTTAACTGTTCCTGGCATATAGTAGCCGCTCACCAGTATTTGTCCACTGACTGAGAGTGAAGGGGTTGATTCTAATGGGGAGGGGGAGGAAGAAAAAGAAAAAGAAAAAAACGCTGGAAAATAACTCAGGACAAAGCCCTCAGCATTATTTTAAATTAAAATTTGCGGAAAATTTGAATTCTTGGGTGTGTGCCTCTGCTTCTCTCCGCAGTGGAATTATTAGAGACCCTGAGCGAATACGAAATCGCGTCTCCCATCCGAGTGAACGCTCTTGGAGAACCCTTTCCCACGAACGTGCACTTCAAAAGAAGGCGACGGAGCATTAACTCTGCCTCTGACCCCTGGCCTGCCTTCGCCTCCTCCTCTTCCTCCTCTACCTCCTCCCAGGCGCATTACCGCCTCTCTGCCTTCGGCCAGCAGTTTCTATTTAATCTCACCGCCCATGCCGGATTTATCGCTCCACTGTTCACTGTCACCCTCCTCGGGGAGCCTGGGGAGAACCAGACTAAGTTTTATTCCGAGGAGGAAGCAGAACTCAAGCACTGTTTCTACAAAGGCCATGTCAATACCAAGTCCGAGCACACGGCGGTTATCAGCCTCTGTTCAGGAATGGTAAGTGGGCGTGCACCCCTCCCCTCCCGTCACCCGCTTCTGGAAGACTTAATTGCTCTCTAGCCTAAGACCTTCACTGCGGCGAGTCTTCGCTCTGGCGTTCTGTATCAGCTGGAAGTTTGTTTGCATCCTGTGGTTTGGGTGGCTAGCCCAGAGCGTGCGCTTACACTCGAGAAGAGCGCACGCGTCCGCCCCCAGGGGGTTCTGGATGTTTCAGAGCTTTCTAGGGTCCTAACTCGGCTCGCTGGGAAGCGGCTTGGAAGTCGGTTTCCAAACTCCAAGAGTTTGCGGCAAACTCGGCCTCCCAGGAGCCGAGCAGCTGAGTGCAGGGAGGACCCGACTCCTTATTGGTGCGTCTTGAGTCAGGGGTGTGGGCTGAGGATCCCCAGGCACGGGTACTGGGAGTTCCTTCTGTGTCGTGGAGGGCGGTGCGTAATCTAGAGTCTCCGAGTTCTCTCGGGGCCTTTTTTCACGCGCCAGGAACCCTGAGGCTGAACAGGATTGACAGGGAACAGGTCCCGTCCCAGGAACGGAAGGGTGGGCCGAGGGCTTGGGGGCGGGGATGAGGGCGGAGCCTGCCTCTGACGCTTTGAATTAGGGTGGAAACTTTGAGTGGGGGGTGCGGCGCAGTCCGACTCTGCACCCTGCTGGCAGGGTGGCACGGAGAAGCAGAAAGAGTGGGAGAGAGCCTGGAGAAGCTACTCCGATGAAATTTCGGTTCTTTTAGGTTTTCTACCACCCGTGGGGGTTGCAGAGAATCGGACGAGGGAGTCTGCGGTGCACGTTTACCTAGTGAGGGAGGGCGAGAGGGCGGGGCGGCCGCCTCCCTTGTGCTGCAAAATACGCACTTAGCAGGGAAACCAAGCTGGTACCCCGACTCCCGGTTTACCTCCCCACCACCACCACTTGCCCTCCAAGAAGCCCTACATAGCATCACCCCTCTCCCCTGTGACATTTGAGGACTCGCTGTAAAGTTCCGACCTGACTGATAATAGTTTTGACTTTCCCAAGCGACGTGCGTTTCTGCCACGCACCTATGACGCAGAAACTTTCCTGGGTCAGGGTCTCCCAGCGCACGGCGCTGTGAGCACCACGCCCGGGTATGCGTTACTCCTACCCTAAGCACCCACATTCCCCACTACACCTTTTCTAAGTGAGAGCGTGGATACTTACGGGGTGCTCGGCTGCCCCTTCTGCTCGCTGCTGTTCGTGGGTCCAGAGATCCCTGTATGGATGTCGCATCCATCTCCGGCGCTCAACGGAGGGGTTGAATGGGGAGCTAGGCAAGACGCGAGCGGCGAGGTTTAGCCTGCTGGGATGCAGGGATGGAGATGAACCTCTTAAGCCGCAGCAAGGCTCCAGGAACCGCGGCGCGTTGTCGAGATTGTTTGGGGGTGGGCGGAGACGGCAGTTTGGCGAAGGCGGAGGGGGTGCTGCGGTGAGTCATCGCTGCCCCAAGACCTAGGGCCAGAGCACAGGAATCCTTCTGTTCTTCGAAAGGTTACGGCCGAGGTGGGCATAAATCAGGCACCGGAGCCATGGGCATCAGAACGCCCCCAGATCTCAATACTGTAACCCCCAATCTCAGAACCTTTCGGATAGGGCTGCGTCTGTACGCCAAGTTTGTAAACAGCCTTTACTCCTCCTCCCTCCCCGCCTCCACACCCCGCTGAGTGGCCCCAGTGGTTGTATAAATATTTTGCTGCGAAGGACCTTACTTTCTATTGGCAATTTTAGGTAGTAACTTGCACGTGGAACTGCGAGTGGTAACTCTCTTAGGGAACTGAGGGCCAGGACTTCAGAAAGGACTGCTGAGACCATGATAACCCATTTATATTACGTTTAATTTTAATAGGCCCTACTCTGAGATTTTGATTCAGTAGGCCTCTTTGGGGGCTGAAAGGTCTGGCATACAACTTAAAGATATGCAATGATTAATCTAGCCCCCAAACCTAGCTCCTTTGTCTTCCTTCTAGAATTTATCTTTCTTCCTGAGACTTCCTCTTACCATTTATGTAGCAGTAGTATCATAAAGTTCCTAGTGGCCTACCCAGGAAATCTTTCACTCTTTAAAGTGGGCCATACCTATCCCACCCCTCCACCCCCAACACACCCCTCACTAGTAAGGTATCAGTTTCCCTGAATTCCATCTCAAATGTGTCTCTCACCTTTTCGGAGCATCCCTACCCTGTTGCTAGCCCTCTTTACTTCTCTCCGGCTCTCTCAAAACTGACATCTAACAAATATTTCCATCTGGCTTGTCCTCCAGTCTTTTCTCTCTAATCCCTGCCCCACACCGCTAACAGATCGATAACAGCTAGGCTCAAGGTCACATCACTACCCTGCTCATTATTCTACATAGCTCCCCACTGCCTAGTGAACAACTATAAACTATCTGGCACTTCAAACTATTTACAGTATACCTTCTCACCCATCTCACATCCACATGTCCAGCTTTCCTCCACAAATCCTATATTTCCGGCAATCTCTTTACCCTTTTTAAAATTTCCCTCCCATCCTAATCTTGCCTCATTGCTTTTGGGCCTTTGGATTCACTTGTTCATCTCACCCAGCTTCACATATTCAAATCATACTCTCTTTTTAAAGTGTAACTTACATGTCTTCTTTCCCAGGAAACCTTTTCATAGTCCTACAGGCTGCTGTCATCTCTCTTCACCTTCATAGATGTGTTTCTGTATCTCTTTTAGGATTCTTAGTATGCCCTCCTTTGTATTATAGTTCTTCATAAACGTGTTCTGTCCCCTTCTCCTTGGCAGTAGGGTCAATATAAACTCATTTCTCTCCCATACTGGAGCCTTGTATATTGTAGGTGCTTAGTACCTACTTATGTTTGAATAAATATTCACCTTGACCAAGAAAGGATTACTCTTTGAGCAAACAACTATTTCATTAACCAACACCAAAATTAATTTGGCATCGTATAAATACTATTTATTGAACTCTTATTATGTGCCTTGCCCTTTAATAAGTATATTATGTATGCATCATCTCATACAACATCCTCACAACAACCTAGCTTTCAAACAACCCATTTTACAGTTGGGGACACTGAGGCCTTGAGAGTTGGAGACTTGCTCAAATTCCCACAGCTAGTAAGTGCCAGAGTTGAGGTTCCATCCAGTCTTACTGACCCATGTTCTTAACCATTCACACACTGAATCTATGTTCCTAAAGAGAATTTCAAAGTTGTTTGTTTTGTTTTCTTTTCTTTTTAAGTCACTGGGCTAAAGTCAGGATACTTGAGTTCTAGATTCAGCACTGGCACTATTCAGCTGCTTCTGTACCTCTGAAGGGGGACCTTGAACAAGTCACTTTACCTTCCAGGCCTTGGTTTCCCTTTCTACCAGTCAGAGGTGCCAGATCTTCACCAGATGAACTCCCAGGTTCTCTCCCAGTATTTATGGCCAGTCTCTAATAGGTTTTACGTGCTGTAGTATGTATTCTGCTCTGTGCTCAGAGAACACCAGAGTTGTGTATTGAAAACAGAGAAAGCTGCTTGGGTAAGAATAAATTCGTTAAATCACTTCTCAGGAAAGCAGCCACTCTGTCATTTAGTCTGACCACACCAGAGCTGTCCCCTTTTTAAGCCAGTGGCTTGTGAACCATATGGAGAGCTTTTTAAAATATATAGAGTCTAGACCTCACCCTTGGAAATTTCAAATCTGTGGCTAAAGGGTAATGCCCCAGATCTAAATTTAAAAAAAATTTCCCAGGCTATTTTGATGCTTAGCTGGGTTTGGGAATCCCTTGTCTTAGCCTAATGCTTCACAAACTTTATCATGCATAAGAATATCCTGGAGTGCTCATTAAAATTCCAATTCCTAGGCCATACCCTGAGATTTTGATTCAGTAGGTCAGATTTGAGGTGGAGCATGATTATTTGAATTTCTAACATATTCCTAGGTGATGCTAATGCCACCTCTGACCTTTAAGGACAGTCATTCCCCCACGTCCACAGGAGGTAAAACCCCTCTACTTTTCTTTTTCTTTCTTTCCATTCTCTCTCTCCCTCCCTCCCTCCTTCCTCTCCCTCCTCCTCCTCTTCCTCTGCTACTTCCTCCTCCTCCTCCTTTTTTCCCAGTGCAAAAAAAAAAAAGGAACAATGGAGTAAGAGAGAACTTGATTTCTCCCTTTAAATACCGTTCACTGGCATGGCATGGGGAACTTTTTAGTGCTCTCGTAATATTTAGTTTGGGTGCTTTACCCTTGAGGCATCATCTATCATTTGTAAAACTTGTGGGTATGTAGGAAGGAGAGGAGAAAGAGTTACCTCTTTCAAAGTGCTTAGAGTGATTGGCAAATACAAATTGTATACTGGTGGTTAGAGCTAACACCACAACACCAAATGCCGTTAATGTGTTCTAAGCTCTTACAAGGTGTCACTTTGCTAAGCACTTTAAATGCATTATCTCATTTAATCTGCAGGATAACTCTTCAGAGTAAGTATTTTTATCCCAAATTGACAAACAAAGAAACTGAAGTGAGAGCAGTTAAACTTGCCCAGGGTGGATGGGTGAGTGATGGTGCTGGGACTGGAACCTAGATCAGCCTGACTCCAAAGCTTGTATCATATCACTCCCTATTACAAAGGGAAGAAGTGGTGAGAGACTCATGTGCTAGTGTTGCAGGTGGCACCCCTTGAGCGTTTTGTGGTCAACAGATGCTTCCTGAATTTGAATTAATGATAAGGCTTCCATGGGTCATCTTTTCCCTTGGATGTCACACTTGTCCCTAAGTTTCCTTGCTGTCTTAACACAGAGAAACACTCTCTTTCAACAGCCTGTAGGAAGGAATATGTGATTAGAACCTGAGCACCAAGAAAGTATTTCTTAGAGACAGATTTGGATAGCGGGTGCAAAATAGTGGAGTTAAATAAAAAATAAGGTACTGATATGGCAGAGAGTGAAAATAAACTGCTTCCCCAAATGTGTCAGCAGTATTTTCAGTTTAAGTAACCCTCAGGAGAAAGGGACTGGGTAAAATGTCACCATTTCTACTTTGAAGTGTTTCATTGTTTTTTTTTTTTTTTTCTTTTCCATTCCGATGGTTGAGCTATATTAAATCGACCTCTCGTTTCTTCATTTGCAGCTGGGCACATTCCGGTCCCATGATGGAGATTATTTTATTGAACCACTATTGTCCATTGATGAACAAGAAGAAGAGGAACAAAACAAACCCCACATTATCTATAGGCGCAGTACCCCCCACCGAGAGCCCTCAACAGGAAGGCATGCATGTGACACCTCAGGTATTTGCTTCTTGCTTAAGCAGAGATCCCACCTCTGTGAGATGGGTTAATTGCCATGTTACAAAGATGCAGCTCTTCTACAGGCTACAAAGCACTACCATTTCCGTTGTCTTTTATTTAGTCTTCAAGTAAGGTAGGTATATCCCCGTGGTACAGATGTGAAAGCTAAAGAGAGGCTTAGTAACTTGTCCAAGGTTGCACAGCTAATCAGTGACAAAGCCAGAATTCAAACTCGAATAGCAGTGACTCCAAGCCCACTATGAGCAGAGTTGCCTCTTTTGTCGAAGTTGCTAATTTTTATGATTAAGCTTTAGGAATATCTTGAGGTAATTATAGCTGTACCCTCAATGAGCAATTGCTTGTGTTCTCTTGGTGTTTTCTGTTAATTTATTTTATTAATTATGTAAGATTACAAAAAACGTCTTACAAATAGAACTCATAAAAACTTCCATGTTTCCCTATGGCCATGCCACCCTGAACGTGCCCGATCTCGTCTGACCTCGGAAGCCAAGCAGGGTCAGGCCTGGTTAGTACTTGGATGGGAGACCACCTAGGAATACCAGGCACTGTAGGCGTTTAAAAATAAAAAAAAAAAAAACTTCCATGTTTCTTGGAATTTTTCCTATTAACTTCAGTTTAGCTAATGCTCTATGGCTTCAGGAAATATAGCACTAGAACTGTAAGTTGCACTGTCAAGTTTCTATCAAAGCGTATATGCCCACAACTAGTTTTCCCTCTATCTTGGCCAGATTCTTTGAGGCTTTATGCTGAAATATTTGGCCATTGTCAGGAATATTGTCATTCTGGGCACCCTAAAAAGCTTATGCTTATCTGCATTTCTCAGTCTGAAGCAACTCTTCACTGTCTCTGAAGCCTAGTTACTTTCTCTCTGATGATAGCTTATTATTAGAAATCATCTCTTAATTTGGTCCTCTATTTTAGAGGACCAAATTTGTTAATATACTTTTTTTTTAATTGTTGGACTTACTGTTTCTAAACTTTATTCTTCTCCCTGTTTTTTATTTTTAAAAGTTGCTTCTGCAAATTAAATAACCTCATAGAGTCTTTCTGGCATCTCCAAATAAGACCAAAGTTCAAGAGCAAAATTCAAGGAGTTTCCTAAAATGCTTCCCAAATGATCATTGTTTCATCTCATATCTGTATCAGGTGCTTACACTAAGAGAGAGTATAGAGTCCTATTCATTCCTGGAATTATTATTTCTAAAGTTCATTTATTATTCTTTTCATAAAAGAGCATTAGCTACCTGTAACCTAGAGTAGCCAAGTCATAGGGTACAGCATCGTAAGACTTTTGGCTTTCTCTCAGCCAGTGCTGTGTTCTTACTGCCAGAAATAGATAGACTACAATGAAATCTTCTATTAAACTTTCTAAAGAGCCAAGGGGTGAGGATGAGAGGCTGAGAGAGGAATGTACTTAGAAAGAATAGTCCCAGCAGCTTGCATGGTGCCGAGACTGCCACCTGCTAGCAAGTTCAATGGCGAGACATTTATCACATTTTTTTTTACCATGCTAGTAAGACTTTATTTCTTGACTTCTTCTTGACTTCCCAAATCTGAATTAGCAAGAGCATATTTTATCCATGTGTATAAACATGTATATAGCATGTGATAGAAAGTAAATATGTGATTCTTCCCCTTCTGTCTTACTAATATATGTTCAAAAGATACTCAAATAATATTTTTATTGATCAATTTATTGGACAGTGGCATTTTGTGACATTCTTCTGCCCTAAGTGGTAGCAAACCAACATTTTTTAAAATTACCGTTTATGACGGTCTTATTATTCTCTACTGGCATTGTGTAAAGTAATTTACCTATACTACTCACTTAATCCTTACCACAACCCTGTGAGATGGGTACCCTTCTTAATTTCATTGTATTTGGTAAATGAGCTAAGGTTTGCAGAGACAAATCAACTTACCCAAGATCTCACAGCTAGACACAACACATGTTTGCCTGTCTTATTCCATGACCCGTTTTCTCTGTGCAGGTGTGATGTATGTGTGTGTGCATCTGTGTGTGTGTGTGTGTATGTGTGTGTGTGAGAGAGAGAGACAGAGAGAGAGAGAGAGGGAGAGAGAGAGGGAGAGGGAGAAAGACTTAATACCGTAACTCAAAAAGTCCTCAAGATTTATTTTTTTAATTAATTACCCAAGTCAGTGGACATTTGATTTGATTTTCTGGGCTAGAGGACAAGTCATTGTCAAAAATCTTGTTTAAAACACATAGAGGGGAAAATTTGAAAAGGTGAAGATTGAGGACAATGTAAGATGCCTTACTTTTTCAGAAAAGCTTATTTAGATTCTAGTCATTATTGGTATTGGGGCCTTTAAGTGCTACATTTCAAATCACCACAGCCAACATTTATTTTTCCTTCTGTTTTTTGCTTGCCAGTGACCAATATGGCAGGCCCTTCTTTCATCCCGTGTGATGTATCAGGAGCCCAGCAGTTTTGATTGGCTCTTCCAAAGGTTGCTGCTGGACTATGCCACTCTGGTTTCTCTCTTCCAGCCTCTTCTGCACCCCTTCTTTGAATTCAGATGTAGGAGGCTCAGAACATTTGGAGAGAACTTGGGAATATGGCACAATTCACCAGCAACCATTAGAATGATGGACCAGAAGGTCATGGAAACCTCTGAGATCAGGTAGCCTTTGCACAGAGAGTAAAAATAAGTGGGGAGTGGAAGTTCCTCTGGCTAGAGAGGAAAATATCCTCTTTGTAAATATCAATACAGTCAGCTTCAGAGATTTCCCCCCAAGTATAGTGGTTGGTAACCAAGAGTAAATTTTAGAAGTACCCTGGGAGCCTCATACAAGCTCAGATTCTTTAAAAACAAACAAACAAACTTCTCTACCAGCCAAGTGAGATGGTGCAAGAATTAGTGGGTTTACTAAGTGCTCCAGGCGATTTAGAAATTCAGCTAAATGGGAGAGTCCCTGCTAAAGTTGGATTTGAGGCAGTCACCATTGTCTATAGCTTGCTGCTTGCTTCGCCCTGGACTTGGCTTTCTCCATTATTGTTTTCTATGTCTTCTATTCTCATAGAATGATGGACTATTTAATCTGGAGGAAACCTTAGCAGTCCTCTGTAGGCCACTATGCTAATTCAGTAGAGGTAAGCAAACCCAGTAGTCCTGGGATGTTAAGTTATTTATTTACAGAGTGATACGCTATTATTCAATACCAACGCATAAGAATTTAAGATAGCCCAAGCCTTGGAACAGGCCCCTGGAAGCCCCCTTCTGACATGTTTAGGTGTAACCTTTAGCTGCTGAATCATGGGAGTCTGCCAAGGCAGGGCACGGTGGCTATTATACTACTTCCTGCAGATGGAATATAAGTCTTGCTCATTTCTGATTCTTCATGTATGTCTAATTTCAAAAAAAACAATTCTGAGATAGCATATTAAAAAGACATGCATAGAGCAGTTTACAGAGTGAAAGCTTCATAGGTTTAGAAAGGTGTCTATAACTTAATTTATCCATTCACGTAGGTATTTATTTATGCAGCCTTAAAGTACTTATTGAGTAACTCCTCTGTGCCATCAGGATAAAATCAGGAATCCTTTTTACTCCAGTTATTTATGTGACCTCAAGCACATTTAGAGCATGAAGTAAGAATAACATGTACCTTCCAAGGGTGTAGTCAGGACTGAGTATCAAATAATGACAGCTCCCACAACAGTGTTCAGCAGATGGTAGACAATTACTGAATGGAAGAGTCTTTAAAAAAGATGGTGAAAGTAAATATTAAAACACCCTAGCAAAGGAAGGAAAACTCAGAATACCAAGCCCAAAGCTAATCGGGTTCTTGTGATTAAGCTTAGAGCTTCTTGATAAACTGGTCATAAAGGCCTTATGGGACTTGACGAAGGTCACCCTGCTAGTCAGCGGCAGGGCTGAGAGCCCTTTCTGTCTGCTTGTTTCCTCTGTACCTAGTGCAGCATTTTAAGATTTTGTTTTTTGCACGTTCCTCTTGGCCCAGTGGCAGCCCTTCTTGGAGTGTCTCTGTTTCGCCGTCATTGGTTATGTCTGTGTATATATTTGGGACACCTGAGTATATCTACACTTATTTGTGATTTTCATCCTGTTTGTAAGTTCCTCAGGATTCAGGATGGGGTGTGGAGAGTATCCTCTTTCCTATGATGTGCCCTTGTGACTACAGTGTCCCCTACACAATGGGTCCTCAGTAGAGTTCACTGAGCTGACTGCCTGCCCACATACCAGGGGGGCCGAGTGGCAGGCCCATGGGAGACATTCAGGAGAGTGTGTTGCTTTTGTAAGCCACTGTCTGCCAATCCTTCACATTGCATTTCCAGATGAAACCCCAAGTTCTGTCACGTAGACACTCTCTATTTGACACTGAATTTTGCACAGGAGAATTTAGTTGTTCTTATCAGTGTGATAGACATGCTTTTTGGTAGATGAGTGAGAAAAAGGCAGGGGAGAAGGGCAACAGAAGACTTTTGTTTGCCTGAGCCTGAAAGACAGTGTTTTTCTGTTACTAAAATACCTCTCTCATCCTCCCATCTCAGCAAGGCCAGCTGCGTTTTGTTTCTTAAGGCATTTAGGAATTATATGTTCGTTGACCCATCAATGCAACTTCTCTGGAAAGAATTGGACAATTTTGTAAAGGCTTTTATGAGAGAATACTTAGTACAGTGTTGTTTATTATAACGAAAGGCTAGAAACAACCTAAGTGCCCATCAGTAAAAGACAGATAAATAACTTACAAGGTACGCATTCGATGGATTCCTATGCAGCCATTAAAAATGATGGCATAGAAATATATATAAACACAGAAATATATATATATTAAGTGATTGGGCAGTGATAATTTAGTATATATGATATGATCTCATTTTTTAAAAAATAATAAAGTGCATGTGGGTGCACATGTGTGTAAAGAAAAAGTCTGAAGCAATATGCAGAAAAATATCAACAGATTATTTCTGATTGGCAGGAACGTAGGCCATCTTCACCTTTGAATTTTATATTCTTATATTTTTGCCATGATTCTATAATAGTTTCATAATAAGAAAATGTATTTTAAAAAGAAATGAGGGTGGTGGATTGTAGTTATTTTGTAGCCTCATGTCACCAGAGACCAACAGCCAAACCAAGATCCCATTCTCTTCTCTGCTCTGCTCTGCTCTTCTCTTCTCTTCTCTTCTCTTCTCTTCTCTTCTCTTCTCTTCTCTTCTCTTCTCTTCTCTTCTCTTCTCTTCTTCTCTTCTCTTCTCTTTTCTCTTTTCTCTTTCTGGAATGAGACAGTCTCAATAACCAGACAGATAAAAATCCTGCCTTGCAGCTACTTCTTTGGGACACCGGGACTAGTCAAAGCTGAGAGTTCTTCTCCACCCAGCTAAAGTGCCTTATACCTATTGGAATGACTTTGGAATTACCATGGCTTAGTCTCCATTAGGCACTGGGGACTCTGTCCATCGCTCCCATTAGAATGTACTGTACTTCTTGGTAGGGCTCCCAAGGATACAATCATAAAGGCTGGAAAATATAAGATGATAATTAAAGCCATCATTTGGTGGACTCCTATTATAAGTATATGGGGTCTCTGGCAGGATTTTTTAAATGCATTCCTAGAATTTGATAATATTCCATACATTATCATATGTAAGTCATTCATCAACACTAAAGGTATTATCTTCATTTTACAGTTGAGAAAATTACATCTCAGAGAAGCTGAGCAACTTGTCCAAAGTCACACAGCTAGTAGAAAGTAGGGCCAGCATGAACCCAGATCTGATTCCAGGGTGCTACACTGTGGGCCAAATTACACTGAAAACACAGCAGAAGAAGCTGCCATCTCCAAAATCTTTTTTAACTTAAGTTTTCAAAGCATCTTTTTTGACTTCCATCTAATCTAACTTCTAAATGATACTAATAATGGCTAACATTTGTTGAGCATGCATTGTGTGACAGGCACTGTCCCACATGTTTTACCTAGATTATATATTTTAATGCTTACCTCAACCTCCATTTTGCAGATGGGAAGTCAGAGACACAGCGAAGTCCGTGAAGTTGATTTACCTAAGGTCACAAAGTTCATAAACATACCCTTTGTCCCGGTCTAGTTAGAGGATTTTTTTGGCCTGCCCGTTTGTTGATTGGATAGTATTCACATATGAATTACTTTTGATGGCAGGATTTTTAAAATGCCTTCCTAGAATTTGATTTGATTTGAGGAGGGCTGCCTGGTGCCCAGAATTCCCACCCAGACTCTAATGACTCACTGAGGCCTTGTGTCTCCAGCATACCTCTGTTGGAGTATATACTTGTTACACATTAACCTCTTAGATCCTATTAATAATTTAGCATAGATTAGCTGATTAGATTAGTTGTCCTGCGAGTCAGGCCCAAATGGAGTGAGAGACAGAGCTAGGGAGTATACCTCTAAGGGGGAATTAAGTAAACAATTCTGGGACAGCTCCAGAGTTCCAGGCAGTAACAGAAGCTTTGGCTGACCTCAGTCCTGTCTGAGCCCAAGCGGGTCGTTGATTGCTGGCTAATTAGTGATTGCTGCGAAAAGCTAGACTGCCTCCATTTTCCCACACACTTTCATATCTTCAGATCCTTTCCCCTCAGCATTTCAGGCTGTGAACATAAGAACAGGCAACATTCGTGTGCTGGGCAACATGAAAGCACGTTGTGGGTAATTTTATTTATTCCTGGAACAGCCCACTGGGAGCAAGATGCTCCAGTTATTCTCATTTTACCAATGAGAAAACCAAACTCAGAGAGGTCAATGAACTTGTCCACAGTGTGTAAAGGAAACAGCTGGCACTCCAGCCCAGGACTGATTTGATCTTTAAAGATAGTTTCTGCCATCTGGTTTATTGTTTTGGCTTAATTTCTTCTCCCTTACCCCTTTTGGTTCCTCATCAATCTATACCTTTTTCTCTTTTTTATATTCCTCAGTAAATTTGTGATTAATAAACAGTCAATATAAACAATGACCACTAAAATCCTTTGTAAGTTATTAGAAAATTGTTGTTTTAAATAACTGAATTCTTGAGCTTATTTCTTCAGCTTTATATTCTTTGTGCTATTTATATAAAATTATTACTCTTTAAACATTGGAGTTAATAGTGCAATACTCCAATAAAGTCATTAAAGGATAGTAAAAAAAAAAGCTTCTAATACAGGTACAGTTTCTTCTTTCATTTGTTCTCATTTATTCACTGCTTTCTTTTTTAACTTTTCATTTTGTTTTTTTAAAAAGTAGAAGCAATGGTAAAACGAACCATCTACATTTAACAATGACAAAGAATTTTCTGCATTTGCATCTTAATTTTCCTTTTTGCTAGAATATTTTAAACTAAACCCAGGTATCATGACATTCCCTCTCTAAGTAGTCCAATATACATGTCTGAAAAATGAAAATAGTTTCTTACATAACTAACATTATCATGATGAGCAAAGTCACTAATTTCTTCATATCGCCTAAACAAGTACCTATATTAAAATGTTTCCAGTTGTCCCCCAAATGCCTTTGTGTGGTCCATTTGTTTAGATGTGGTTCTAAACAATGTCCACACATTGCAATTGGTTGTTATGTCTCTTAAGTAACTTTTCACTTTGTTGTCATTGTCGTTAAAACTGTTGTTTTCATTCTAGTTTTAGTTTTGCTCCCTATGGCCCTTTTTTTCCTTTCTACTTCTTTTACTCTTTGATTTGCCTTTATCATCATAAGGTTAGGCTTCATTTGCAACAATTTGAAAGAGTATCGAGTCAGCCCTCAAATCCAGAGCAGGTACCAAGAACAAAGCCACTAGAACAAGCCACTTATCAAAGTAATTTTATTGAGCACAAAAAGCAGTGTGATTAGGTGATTTTTTGACCCTTTGTCTGGAGTATCTTGATAGCCCTCTTTTTTTTTTTTTTAATCTGCTAGTAGAAAGATCTTCATTTTGCAGGATTTACTAAGAGGACCTTATCTACCTACTATTCAAGGATTTTACTCATCTATGTTTTTAAACCCAGAAGAGACAGTTTGCTGTTGGGAATGTAAAATGTTCTTACATTTGGACCTGAAAAGAGGGCTTCTTGATGTATGACATGCTTTCCTGTCCCTCCCACCAGCGCTTTTGGTAACTTTTGGATCCAGAGACAGCCTGAGGGCTGTCTGCTTCACCTTCCATCCCCAAATCAGGGTTTTCTCTGTTGTCACTGCTTCAGAAACCCATTCTCTGCTGAGGAAAAAGGATCATACAGATATTTTCTCATTTGTTCGTCTTCCTAGTAACCCCCTGAAACAGATTAAGATGTATGTCCCCTCTAAAGAAGGGTTGTAAGACATGGCAGAAGCCTAGGGCAGAGGGTTGGTTGGGGTCAGGTGGGCAGGCTGACAGAGGCAGGGTGTGTCTGGGGTTAATGTGAGGGCTTTCAGACTCTTCACCTAAGTGAACTGTCTTTTTGAACTAAGATATTGTGGGATCTTTTGGTGAACTGCATCTGAGGGAGATAAACCCACTCATTTAAAAAAAAAAAAAAGCACTATTTTGTCATTTGAGTTTTAAATTTTTAAACTTTGAATCTGCTAAAATTAGGTTCTTTATGATCATCAGACTATAATACAATCATTTTGTAGCCATTTATGGGTGACCAAAGTCTGTTTATATCTGTCCAGACTTCTGCATAGATGTTCTGTACAATTGAAAATCATTAATAAATAGGAAGCATTCTGAATATCACAAAAAGGAACATGAGGAAATGCAAGATATGATGGTTTGATGAGTTTTGAGATGGAACAAAATCAAATGAACGGCAAATGTTGACAAATGTTTTCTTTTTTATTGATCCTCATCTCTCATGTGACATTAGAATTAGAGTAGGGTGTTGAAATGCAGTTGGCCTGTGGTGTGTGGAAAAACTTCAAGTTGATGTGATCAGCCTCAGCATTTTCTGTTAAGTTTATTTTTTTACAATTTTTTTTCTAGTTTTATCTTTCCATTTTTCTATTACAGTATAATTTACATGCAGTAACTGTCATTCTTTATATTCTGCAAGTTTCAGCAAATGCATACAGTCGTGTAACCATCATCACAGTCAAGATAGAGAATAATTCCTAGTGCCCTTTGCAGTCAGTGCCCTGTTTTCTGTCTCTAAAGTTTAGCATGTCATATAAATAGAATAACTAAGCATAGTGCTTTTGAGGTTCATCTGGGTGTTTCCTTTATCAATGATTCATCTTTTTTTTTAATTGTGAGTAGTGTTCCATTGTATGGATATACTATAGTTTGTTTAGCTAATACCGGTTGAGGGACAACGTTTTGACAATTACAGATGAAGCCATTACCAATATTTGCATACAGGTTTTTGGGTCAACATAAATTTTCATTTCATTTAGGTAAATACTTAGGAGTGAGATCACTGGGTTATATGGTAAGAATATGTTTAACTTTGTAAGAAACTGCCCATCTATTTTTCAAAGTGAGAGTACCATTTTAAAGTCCCACCAGCAGGAAATAAAACTTCTATTTCCACCATACTCTCGCTAGCACTTGGTATTACTGATACTTTTTGTTTGTTTGTTTAATTTTAGCCATTCTAATAGATTTGTAGTGGTATTTCATCATAGTTTTAATTTGCTTTTCTCTAATGGCTAAGCATCTATTTTATGTCTTTATGTGCTTATTTGCCATCCATGTATCTTCTTTGGTAAAGTCTCTATTCAAATCTTTTGCCCATTAAAAAAAAATTGGAATGTTTTCTTATTGAAATTTGAGTGTTTTCCATGTATTCTGGATATAAGCTCTTTATCAGATAAGTAGTTTGCAAATATTTTCCCCGAGACTATGGCTTGTTCTTTTCATTGTCTTCATTTACAGACACTTATTTCATACACGGCTTCCTTATTTTATTGCAAGCATTTCATGCACCATAGATTTCATGCCGTCACAGGACCACACTGCAGGAAAGAGTAATGGAGAACGCCGTATAGAGTTTGTCCAAGATATAGCAGAAGAGCAATGGAGTAGGAAAGACTTATTTAGGACTTGTTATTTAAAATCATTGCATATGCCAACAGAAAAGGCATGGTATTGTTTTTTATTTCTAATTTGCATCTACAAGCACGACTTTCAATTTTAAGTCAGTCTACTTTATGATGGGAACGTGTTCTCTTGGCTAGTAGGTTAAAGGATTACAAAGGAAGCTTTGGATACCTAAGAATGCAACTGTGTTCTTTTGCTCATAATGCACACAGGAGAGAAAGAGAAAGGCAGAGGACAGTGAGACAGAGTAGACATAGAAGAGTCAGTGGTGTGAGATTAATCCCTGTATGACCACAAGCTTTTAGAGAAAGAGAAATGGGAGATATGACTCCATTATCTCCCAAAGTTCTTATCCTGTGCTTTGTGGACAATATGAGTTTGTCCAAAGGTAACTTTGATAATGCACTGTTTTTTGTTTTTTAAGAGAGTTTCCTAATCCTCACATTAGGTGCTATTCTAGTGTAAATCAGATTAGAGAGAATGAAAGTGGTTTTCAGAAACTATTATCTGTTTTAGCATGTCCAAAATAAAAACTTTACAGTAAGTATTGGAGATAGTGTACACCGTACCATCCTTGACATTATTTAACACCAGCTACAGCCCACCTGTTTTGTGCTGGTCTGTCTCTGTTGGTGTTATTCTGTCTCCTCTTACCTGCTCACTCTGCCTACTGTTTAGTCATTTCTTCTATACCCTCTCTAAGAATGACAGAAGAGGCCAAGAGACTCTGTTGGGTTTTGTCCCCTTTGAACCTTAGGACTTCATTTTTCGGCATTATTCACTTTTTTTTTTTTTTTTTAAATGCCTACAGCACCTGGTATTCCTAGGTAGTCTCCCATCTAAGTACTAACCAGGCCCAACCCTGCTAAGCTTCCGAGATCAGACATTGGGCTCGTTCAGGGTGGTATGGCCATAGACCATGGATCATGGCTCCACTGGGGCATAAACCCAGGACCTTCTGCATGTAAAGCAGACATGCTAATCGCTACACTATGGAATCACATCCTAGACCATTTTCTTACACAAGAATAAACTCAAGATGGATTAAAGACTTAAATATAAGACCCCAAACCATAAAACTCCTAGAAGGAAACATAGGCGATAAACTCTCTGATATTATTCCTAATATTTTTTCTGATATATCTTCAGGCATGGGAAACAAACAAACAAACAAACAAACAAACAAACAAAAACCAACGGGACTACATCAAC